AATTCTTATTAATCAGTCTCGTCATCAAATTCTATTGCTGAAACTATTGCGACTATCGCGCCTGCGCACGTCTGATTTTACGGTTTTACTATCACATTTTTTTCAGTTCGGTCGGGCAGCAAAATCCCTATCCCCTCGTCATCAAATTCTATTGCTGAAACTATTGCGACTGTCGCGCCTGCGCACGTCACATTTAATGGTTTTATTCCACGCACTTTTTTCCACGGATTTTTTCTTACGGTTTTACTATCACATTTTTTTCAGTTCGGTCGCGCAGCAAAATCCCTATCCCCTCCAAGCCTGCCGTAAGGAACTTCTTTCCAACATGTTAACAATATAGCCAGTCCGCTGTGCCTGGTTTTTGATAACAAAACTGTTAGGCCGCGCCCCTCTAAAGACGTGGCTCCGCTGGTTTTTCGATCATCAAATTCATCATCATCATCTTACGATTGATCTTACTTGCATTCACGTTTCTTCAATATTTATCAAGAACTATGAATTAATGATAGTTTCGGTGATTTTTTTTTTGATATTCTGAAAGTGCTGGTTGTTTATGATTGATCAGGTTTAGGATGGGTGACCATGATTATGAATATGCAGGTTGTTTACAATTGGTTGGGTTTGGGATGGGTGATCGCGATTATTAATTATATGCAATTATGCTCTCTAATTATTTGTAAAAATCACCTGATTATTTTTTTCATTTCACTCCATTACAAAACAGACCAGAGAAAATTCATACTAAAAACCTTCGATCTTCTTTTAATCGTTTACTTGTATCGCTTTACGATTACAATTAACTTCCCTCTCAACGCTCTGATATCATTCACTCTTCCTTCTTCATCAAAACTATACATTTGTGGAATGAACTCCCGTTAGCCATTAGAATGTCCACCAGCAAATAATATATAATAATTTAAAACCAAGCTGCGAAGCTTTTTACTGGAACAGACAATTTCGTTAGTCGTTTTTATTATGTACTAGCTTTTGCCCGCGACTTCGTCCGCGTTATCGTCGTTTTTCGTAAAAAAGTGCATATGTCCTTCCTCAGGGTTCCGTGGTTTTGATGTGACAGACAGATTAACTTTCGTATTTTAGTAGGGAAATATAATACTGTTAAAAATATCGCAATAAGGAACCGCAGAATATTATTATTATTACTGTGCCCCGAGACCATCAGCGTGTAACTCCTTGTATGTTATTATGTTAATGTATTGGTAATATTGTTTAGATCGCTTTCACATGAGTCTTAAGTACATATAGAATGAAAACACTTCAGCGCAAAGCTTCCGGGTAGACTACGTTGAAATTTGACCCGTCTGGAACGTGAACATAAAAAATTCTAGGACTGCTAACCCGGGAAAGACCGACATAACTGACCATGTGAAAAACAACTGACACCGAGATCTACTCCAACAACACGAAAGGTCTGCCCTTGAGCCTTATTTATTGTCATTGCATAACACACCGATACTGGGAATTGCGTTATTTTAAATTGGAATGGAAAATTATTTGGTATTATGGGAATTCTGGGAATAAAGATGGTTTCTCCTGCACCGCAACCTATTAAAATTTGAGCCTCGATTACATTTTGTTGCAACTGGGTTACTTTAAGCCGAGTTCCATTGCAAATTTGTGGTGGTCTTAAATTTCGGAGCAGAATAATCGGAATGCCAATTTTTAAACAAATTTCATGAGAAGGAAGTACGGGCATATTTAAAGAATTTAAAAATTCTATCGGGTAATTAGTGGCTTCTTGTTCATCGGCCATTCTATTTATTGAACTATAAACTTTGCTTTCCCCCTGCATATTCGACAGTATTTTATTATTAATCTCAGATGCCTGGTCATTGCGAGGAGTTAAAATGGACCTTTCGCATAGCCAAGAATTGTTCTTATTTAATATATTTGTTACGTCACCGTAAACTGACGATGTAAGATGTTGTTGGGATTGCACTATACAACATAACTCAGGCGTCAGAATAAGTTTTCCTTGGTGTAGCAGTGGATAGGTATCTTTGGTGAAGGTATTTTCTTTAATAATATATCAGAAAATTCACGATCATCCGGGTTATCTACAGTTCTCACTCGCATGTTTATAGTCAAATGCACCGATTGTATATCACGCCACAAATAAGAGCTTTTCAGGCAAGCCCTAACCTCAGCAGCTCGGGTTCCCCGTGGTATTACCGTTAAGGTTTGTCGGAAATCACCACAAAATAAAACTGTGATACCGCCCATGGGTCGATCATTTTGTCTTATATCTCTTAAAGTTCTGTCTACCGCTTCTACTCCTTTTCGATGGGCCATCGTACATTCATCCTATATGATTAAATTACACTTTGAACGAATATTTAAACACTACCAAAACAACTAATACGTGGTCCTAATTTTAGCTACCTTACACATAAAATCTAAGTGACTATTTGAACTAAAATATTCTTATAGAATTATAACCAGAAATATATACAACTCACAACAAAAAAGAAATGAAAATAAAGCTGAAACGCCTGTGCAGTACTATCTACCTATACCTCCTTCACTTAAAAATAAATACTTATAACTACTTTAATTAATAAAAGTACCTACGCTTAATAATTTTTAATTTGAACGAATATTTAAACACTACCAAAACAACTAATACCTGTTTTACAAAATAACAACAAAAGAAATTCAAATAAACTATTTAAAGACTAAAAGTCGCGCTGATAAGCACGGTTTCGGTCTCCCAGGCAGAGAAATAGGAGGAGAAATGGCAGGGGAGCAGATGAGAAATCCTCATGGATACCCTACAGCCGGCTGCAAGGTTATGTCAGACTCGTACTGACTAAAAAACACCCGTAGGGGCTGCCTCTGGCCGGGAAGGCCTCTAAGGCTTCATCGGAAGCGATCGTCCCCCAGGGGGGGAGCGACGCAGAAAACAGATTTAGACAGCTCGCTCTCGGACCTTTGATACCCTACCGCTGCCGCGACCCGTGTCATCCTTATAGCATGATTCAGTATTCACGTGCGACGGCGCGATGGCTTATTTCATGTATAAGTTTGGTGTTTCTATACCGAGTATTATAAACGTAAGAGTAAACAAATATGATCAGAATGCTCCGAACTGCTAAGCTATCGGGAGTTACACGTGTTATTGTGAGTCAACCATAAAAGATAGACATATGCTGTTCCGGGATATTTTTTAGACAATTTTATGTAGAATATTTCCGTCATACATGATTTCTATGTAACTTTAATCATTAAGGCTGCACACGCGACGGAAGCTTAAAAAATGGAGTAACTTCTCCCGTTTTCCCAACATTTCCCTTCACTACTCTGCTCCTACTGATTGTAGCGTGATGAAAAGTATACTATAACCTGCCCAGGAGTATGAAGAATAATTGTACCAAGTTTCGTTAAAATCCGTCGAGTAGTTTTTGTTTCTATAAGGAATTTACTGATTGCATTTTTGGCATCAGTATCGATCACTAATCACCCCCTGATAGTTATTTTAAAAATATATTTCATGTACAGAATTGACATCTCTACAGATTTATTATAAGTATAGATTAAATTTATTTAGTGAAGTGTATGAGTATTTATGTCTAGGTATCAGGGATGGACCAAAGTCGGTTCACATTCGAGAGAGAGTTTTTAAGTGTAGAAATGAAAGGGACTAAATTACTACGGTATGTAAAAATCGTAGTAGTTAAACTTCATATTTTATTCAGCGGCTTCTACAAATCTTACGGCGATAATGCAATCGGCTATGTCCAAATTAAAAGAGATGGAGAATTATGTACAGTAAAAGGTCGAGTTCTCCGGAGCATAAAGTACGTAAAGAAGGTTATCGTGTTACACTTATTTTATTAATTTATTTAAAATTGAATAAAATTTAAAATTGCGTTTTAACGCAAAGCTTGGTTCAGTCCTGCCAATGTGAAGATTGTGCCACACATTTTAAACTTTATCTAATTTTCGACGTCATTCTCCAACTGTAAAATTAAAAATATGTTATAGGCAGATTTTGTAAGTATTAGGTAGGTTACTAATGCGTTTTTACGTACAAGCAGATTAATTAAGCATATAACAAGTATATTCGCCGACTTACGTCAAAGTGTCACAGTCACAGTCACAGCATCGAATAATGGTCTTTGAAGAATAATTGTCATTTCTCTTCGCAGCTTGAAACCACTTTTTTCAGTTTTGGGTCAGAAGTTCCAGTCAAAAACAATTTATTTGGAAACTCTGTTGAAGTAGATTGGCACAAAACATGAGTCAACACGGCTTTTTTTCGGAATATTAGTGGTATTGTTATGATCACATGATGTTGATGGATAGCCCATTTTAAATTAAAAAAAAAATATTTCAAAAGTCGAAAAAATATGCAAAAGTATGAAAATTTAAAGCCAGCGACGAACAAGTACGACCAGTGACAGACAGGAGTGACGTCATCGCAACCATAGGTTCGTTTTCGCGCGATTTAAATTGTCAATTTAAAACCGCATGTTTTCCGATAAATCATAATGTTTTAATTTTTTAATATATCTGTGGTTTATTCTACATGGAATTCTTTAAAATAAAAACAAAAATAAAAATATTGCATCTTCCCTATTGTGCATGACGAATCAAATAAATAAATAAAATTAAACAACACAAATTTCAAACGACTCTTCTTCCTCTAGTGAACGCTAACAAAAAATATGTAACTTAGGGGAAGTTACGTATTTTTGTTTACTACCACCGAACCCATCACATTAAGGCGAGACGGCAACATATGAACTAACGATTTTCTTTTCTCAGTGAACAAAATTGATAGAAAAGTAAAGCACTTAGGTTTAGAATAGCAACTCGCTTAGTTATAACAATGCATGCGTTTTAAAATCAGTGTTGAAAATTATATAGGAAAAGAAAAAGTATCTTCGTAAAAAGTAGTATCTTGTATCTGTATTTTAAATATTTTTATCTTAGATAAGTCACATCTCTGCATTCCAGCATATTTTAGCATGAACAATTACCAGAGAGAAGCGAGAAACTTGCAGGCTGTGAAACTGATGAGTTCTGGCATGAAGCCCGATAGAATTCCCAGCATGCCTGCTGCTAGTGAGCTTATGATGAGGATCGGCTTCCGACCACGCGTGTCCACGAGGTAACCCCAAGGAAATGACGTCAGAACGACACCTGGAATCAGTAAAACATCGTTATTAAACCCAATGTTTACTTTTTCGACAAACAAGACTAAGTGTTCTTGTTCATTTCTTCATAGTTATTTTTAATAGTAAAGATTTTAGTAAACACCACGTGAAGTTTTGTGTAGATAAATATGAACTGATGTCAGATTTTAATTTGTTGTCTCAGTTAGTTCGTAATATGGTTCATAGATGTAATAAGATGAGACAACTAAATAGGTAGCAGGTAGGTACTGAATGTTCTGATCGTCATACTGTTATGGAAACTCGCGAAGAAGCTCTTGCAGAATATGAAAAATGCTGCAAGATGTAATTTTTTGTCGCTGTAAAAAATTGGAAAGCGGTTTATTATCAATATATAGCACAGTCCGTACACTCATCGCCTCTACGATGCTGGATATTAGGAACAGCGCTAGTGCCATACCAGACCATATAGGCCAGTGGCGTAGCATAGGTCACTAGCACCCGGTGCGGATTCCAAATTTGCCGCCCTCATATTTTTGCAATCCATTATAAAAAAATTGAGGCATGGTAAAAAGAGTACTTTTATTGAATAACACTAACCTAAGAGTGAAATTAACATTTTTTGACATAGAGTAGAAGGTAGACTATCACAATATCACTTAGAAAAATTACAGAGAAAACGTAATACAATAATTCCTAAATAATAGTTATTGAGAAACCTTGCGCTTGTATCACCCATGCATAGAACCTGCATAGGTACCTGGGTATTTGGTAACAACAACAAAAAAATGACGAAAAAAAACTGAAAGAAATTAACTTTTTTTTATATTTTAATTTTTTTTCTCTATCTGCCGCCTCCGCAGCGCCGCCCCCGGCAAAGTGCCGCCCGGTGCGGACCGCCCCCCCCCCCCGCCCCCCCCATGCTACGCCACTGATATAGGCAATTCAAATTTTGAATCAACCCATATAAAGTACTGTAACAACGAAGCTACGCTGCAGGCCTGTCACCTGAAGGTAGCGAAGGAAAATCGTCAGCTCAGACATATACTCTACCGGCTCTACGATTATGGAGATGAGGAAAAACACCAGCACTATATGGGCAGTTAGAATATTAAACCAACCTATGTAAGGTACTGAAGCAATAAAGCCTCGCTGCGAGTCTGTCATCTGGAGGTCGCAGCGGGCGGACGGCAGTACATACGAGTACCCCACCGGCTCCACGATGCTGGCGATGAGGAACAGCGACAGTACCAAGCAGTACTTGAAGTTGTAAACACCAATACCTGTACAGAGTGAATTAACCATGAAAGAAATCTATTCTATTCTATGTATATAATAAGACATTGAATAGATTTGAAAAAAATAATTGTTTAGGGTTCTTAGAATAAGTAGAATAACACAATTCTAGTTTTTTTTTAACTTTTGTCTGTTTGTCTGTATGTTTGTATGTTTTTATCGCATCAAACCAAAACTGCTGAAATAAATTCAACAAATTAAAAATATGTTTAAAGAGGGTAATCTCTGGGTAATATTTAGTCTTTATTTCATTAATTGCCAGTGCTGATAATAGTTGGCGCTAAAGGTGTCTTCATCACGCTTAGGTTTATGTTTACTTTTTACAATACTGTACTCAAAATCCTCTGAGCCCCACGGTTGCCAACCGTACCAGATATCATCGTCATCTATATATCATCATCGTACAAATACGAGAATTCTGGTCTACCGTACGAGGTGAAGCTGCGCATGCCCTCCTCCGCGCTCGCGTGTGAGGTCTTACGATCGCCTAACAAAATATTATTTTCTTTCACTTCCATATCTACCCACCAAGATCATTTCTACCCTCATCCGATACGGTGAACATTCTTCGGAATGCCACCCAAACTCCACCCTCCCGGGAAGCCACCGGACACTAATTTAGCTGGGGCTGCGGCTCGAGTAGCGCCCGCCATCCAATCTGCGCCGATGGCGCCTTCACCAGTGTGTCAGCCGCCATCTAGGCAGGCGACTAGCACCCCCAACCCAGGCAGCGCTGCTGCAAGCAAGAGCAGGACAACTGATTTGCCCCGACCCTGTTCTGCGCCGGTCACTGCCTACCCGCGCGACCCCGTCGCCGCCAATTGGATGAGGACGATGTCGCCGGAGGTGATGAGAAGCGCCCTCGGCACGGCCCGTCTCCGCCACAGCCCAGAGCACCATCGTCAGCTACCCCTGGCACCTGCGGCACCTACGTGTGGGGGCACGTAGGTGCCGCAGACGCAGGTTTGAGGGGGCCAAAGGAGGCAAACAACCTCCCCATCCGCCTCCGAAGAGTCTGATGCCGAGTCGATTTCTTCGGAAATTTCCTTCGAAGGAGGGATCGAAGGGCTATACGGCCCTCTCCCTCCCCACGCCGAAGCCGACTACACCGCCAGCACAGCGTATTACAATAAACCAACTGGAAGAGAGCCAAGCACCACAGATGCGGTCATATTCACAGGCTGCATCGCAAACTTCACCTCCCCGCTCACCGCGCACCCCACCAGCAATTAAACAAACCGAAAGTTATAGTAATCGTAAAGCGATGCAAAACATACGAAAATATATTTAAAGTTATAATTTATATTTTTAAGCATGTAACTGCTTGATGTTTAAATCTAAAAAAATATAACTAGAAAAAAATCCATGCGGACCAGGCAGCACACGGGACTCGAACCCGCACCCTTCGCTATCCGGGTGAATGCACTGACCAATAATTATTATGCTATCGCGTATAGCCATTCGTAAGCTGCAAGGCAGCTCCATCTCTTCGCATTGTAGGTAATCCATAATGTCAAATGAATACTTTTACAAGTACAGTTAGTGCAATCCACGAAGATGCGCCCCACCAATTTTTGGTTGAAGGATAATTAGTGATAAAAAGATAATTAGATAATTATCATATTATTATTTATTATTATCATAGATAACATTACAAGGTTTTTTACCCATATATGAAATTAATGTGAATCAGTAGAGTAATGAACACTATGTTAGATACTGAAGTGGGAAAAGAATAGGACGTCAAGTTTTTTAAATATTTACTATATTTGTTTTTGACAATTGTTTTATGTGTGACCTACAAAAAATCAAAAAAGACACAGATAACTTCTTCTTTTATACTGATTAGCATCAGTTTCTCTTAATATAGACGAGCAGTAATCACCTTACATATTTTTATCCCCAAAACCGTGGTACCTTGATGAAAACGGACACCATGTTCATCGCTAACGCTTCCCTTAATTTTTATTTTTTGAGCATGTAACTGCTTGATGTTTAAATCTAAAGAAAATATAACTAGCAAAAAAAAAACATATTTAAAGTTGATTTCATCACTAAAATCGTTTAAAATAAATGGCTCTAAAGCCATGATGCCAGGCCACAATAACAATTTATCCAGCATTAAAAAGAGAGAAAAATGACGCAACTAGAACATAGTGAAAATAAAACAATAGTTTCTTATAAAAAAAAATATGTAACATCTAGATATTTTTATTTTGATAAAATATTACTAGGAAACATTCAATCTTTTTTAATAAAATTAAAACAGTTTAATTGCTGTATTGTTTCAGTATTTTTTGCAGTGTTCTACAGATAAAAATAGTAGATCTCTTAAAAATCTCTGCGATGGTTTTGTATGGTTCTCTTATGCTAGTGCTATACTAATGTGAGTTATGAGCCTGCTTTGTACCACTTTACAATTTATTATAGTATTTAACTTTGTTCGCACATTTTCTGTATGACACGATATTCCCAATCTATGTATAAAATGTATTTATTTTATATTCCAAATTATGTGACGGAAGGCGACTTCATGAATTATATTATATTGAAGTCATTTTTCAAATTAACGTCTCTGTTAACAATAATAAAAGGAAACAAATAGAGCCTTCGAGTTTGTTGCCGGTTCTTCTCAGTGCAGGTCTCTCGTCGTAGAATTGCTAACCAATGGCGTAGTTTTTCAACATTGATAGAATCATTAATATAGCAGCCTAAACTAATTAAACGATATTTAATTTTGCCCTGGTCAGTTTCCTAGATAAATAATAATATATATAGTTAATAAAAATGTTATATTCAGGGAGTTTGGTTTGGTTTCACCAGAGTCTGTGCCGGCCTTTGACCACGACCTTTTTCGCACGTTCTTTACGTACGTGATCCACTTTTCATCATCAGTTATCAGCTTCTTCAAAAATTGACCGGTTTCATTACGTCGTATTAAAGAATCACAAATGAGTACACAGTTCATTAGCTTTTTGGTGTACCCAGCTTTTTCAAATGCGCCAAAACTGTTTTGTAGTCAATTCCCAGTTCTTCAGCTACGCCGTAATTACTGATATGCCGATCTTGCTCCACTTTTTCAAAAATGCATTCTTTTTATCCATACTAGGGCGACCAGCCCCTCTAGCATGGACCACCGAAACGGGTTAGGATAAAGCGATATATCGGCATTAACTGTCAGGCTACTGTCAAACTCCACTGTAGTCTGACATGCTAGAGGGGCTGAGCGACGTGCATTTTCGACAGCAAAATTTCCGGATTGAAAACGCTTACACCAAATTTGTTAAAACTACTTTCGCACATACTAGGTCCATAAACATCACATTTTTTTTCACGGCTTGCGTTGCATTTTTGCCTTTTTTGTAGTAAAATTTTAAAATGTATCGATTATCTTCATTAAGTTCGCTCAACTTGACAGTAAGAAAAACGAATGTAAATCACACATTTTTCTAATTAGAATTTGGAATTATCTTCTGTAAAATTTAAACTTTTTAATGATACCAAACCAGTCAGATACAATAGGTACAGCCAAAGAGATTTTATTACAAGTTCATACATACTATAATGCGAAAAGACTTTTTCATTTCTCATTCTCGGAAAGTGGTGTTGTTTCGATCTGTTTGTTGGGTGGAAAATGCTGCTTCCCTCCCTAGAGATGGAAAAATCCATACAAATTACTTCCCGCCTAAGGGTCGGAATGAACTTTAAAAATAGAACTACTGTGGTAGTAGGTGTAGGTGTGTAGAATTTTATGTAAAAAAAAAATATGATGCCATGTGAGTTTCTAAACAGCCAGTGTGAACTTAGCACAAACTTCTTTGAGCGGAATAATCCGCAACAATTACGCTGTTCCATATTTAAATTTAAAAAGTCGACATAAATTGGTGGGATACTAAACTGTTATGTATCTGTGACGGAATACAAAAAAATCTTATAAGTAAAACAGAGCAATCTAAATTTGAATATTAAAAATGAGTTTAAGCGATTCAGAAATGTTGACACCGGATTCAATTAAAGACGAGGCAAATTGTGTTATAGAGAATCTTTTGCCAGAAATGTCAAAAGATGATATATGAATACATACAATGATTTTATAAAGTGGCGAGCAGAGAAGAATATAAAATCGTTTCCCGAAAGTGTATTTCTTACATATTTTAATGGACTGTCTTCTTCACTTCTTCTTCAAACTTCCAGGGAGTATCCGCCATGGAATCCATCGTTTGATGAAATAACAGAGTCTCCTACTTTTACAGATATCCAAAACAGTCAAATTTGTAATAGTATATCAAACAGCATAAACATTCCAAATAAGAATGTTATTTTAATTTCATTAATTGTCCTAATATGACAATTAATTTAAATAGCTACTTCTAATTTTATTGTACCTGGTCTATGTACCTATATATATACTTTTTTATGAATAAATATTTTTGATAAACAACTAGTTTTTTTTCCTCATATTCGAAATGAAAAGTACAGTGTTTAACTCGGGTAAAAGAATCAATTCCTACTCGGACTATAGCCGCCCTCGCTGCGCTCGGGCGTCTAAATACCTCGGGAATTAATTCTTTCCACCCTCGGTTAACAATCTACTATTTTCCCCAATCTATTATATGAAAAATTGCCTACCTAGCTATAAAAAAAAGTGTAAATACACAAGTGGTAGATCTTTTGAATACCTATACCTATTGTAGAAGTTGTATTTTTCCCGAAAATCGCGATAAACTGTTTTCCCCCTTTCAAAGTTCACCCACCAGCCTTACTGGCCTTAAATCGATTGTAATTTGTTTCTCCTTTTTTTATGTGTTCTCTTACTTTGGTATGGGTTTAAAACAGTTTTTTTTATTTAATGAGTGATGTGCGTGAAAACCTAAGAAACAAATAGTTTTTTGTTTGCTCTCAAAAATTATTGGCCCTGGTCCATATAAAAAATAATGCAAGTTTTGAAATGTAGTTTACTTATAATAATAATAAATCAGTTTCTATTCGAGTAAGTAAAGCCGTTGGCAGCGCGCATTAATTAGTGAAAAGTTAAGAAGTATTCAGTATTAAAACACCAGCCCAATTTCCGAAAATTTCTGGTGAATTTTCTAACATTTTTTTTCATTATACAAAACTTGACCTGAAAATTACGAAAACAGCAAAATAAAAATGTAATCTCATGTGATGCTCCACAATACATCCGCCAGTGTGTGACATTTGATTTATATTCATAAACTTATTAGATCGAGCGAGCGTTGGTTGAATTTTTATCACAGTTTAAACCAGTAATATTGCTTGATTTGCTAATTTCCTTGGATGGACGCAGTATTCAACCTATATTTTTTTTTCATTTCATCAATTTGACAAAACTTAGGCCTTATAGGCCACGTCAACTTTAATATTGTTTCGACACTGTATGTGTAAATAAACTCATTATCAGCCTACTAATGTCCCCACTGCTAGGGCACAGGCCTTCCCTATGGATGGAATAGGGAGATTGGTCCATGACCCACCACGCGGGCCCAGTGCGGAATGATGGGTGCTAACAACTGCAGATGTAGCCGGGACCAAGGGCTTAACGTGCCTCCCGAAGCGCGGAGGGGCTCCAGATAGTAAATTTATGGTCACCCATCCAATGACCACTGCGAAAGTTGCTTAACTTCAACGATCGCAGCCGAACGCGCTAACCACTTGCGCCATCGAGCTCCTCAAATAAACTCTGATAAAAAAAACATATCAAAGAGTTTATTTGATATCAAAAAAACATATCATATAAACTCTTTGATATGTTTTTTTATCAGGGGTAACCGTCTAGCACCCGCTCACTTCAAAGGACCTACCACGGGTCACAGAGTTGCACTGGGGTAGTAGATGAAAGATAATTAATAGTCAAAGGAAATAACACGGCTTCTTAACTCGCGTTTGATGTGGTTTCATAGTCAATAGATTTTTGTTTAAAATGGTGGTGATTATTTTTTAAAGTTTGTACACATTTTGAGGCGTCTCTAGGAGGATGGAGCAGCACCGATAAGAACAGATGAATTACTGCCGGATCTGTCACATTGTTCCATCACCAGCCTATTAATGTCCCCAATACTGGGGCACAGGAATATTCCCTATGGAAGAAAAATCAATAGTATCAATTCGACCTCTCCGCGTCCACTTCCGTACAATTTCATTCCTTTGACTATTAATACCAATTAAGTGAGTCAGAGAGCCAGATCTAGGGTGATTTAACCTAATCAATTAGGTTACTAGTTGTCGATGTGTTTTAATATAAAAATATAACTAAATGTTATGTATCGTGTGTGGTATACAAGTATAACTAAATAATATTATTTATTATGGTAATATCTCGAGAGGAGCTCAATGGTGCAAGTGCTAAGCGCGTTCGGCTACGATCGTTGAAGTTAAGTAACTTTCGCAGTGGTCGGTCATTGGATGGATGACCAAAAATTTACTATCTCGAGCTCCTCCGTGCTTCGGAAGGCACGTTAAACCTTTGGTCCGGGCTGCATCTGCAGTCGTTAGCACCCACCAATCCGCACTGGACCCACGTGGTGGGTCATGGCCTGTGCCCTAGCAGTGGGGACATTAATACGCTGATGATTGTTATATTTTATATATTTTTAATAAATGAAAAAAAAGGAACGACTCTTTAATTTATTAATTATAACTTAGCCACTGAGTGAGAAGGGACCGTGCTTAATGACTTGACCCAACTAATGCTACACGTGCCATTAAATTGAAATTCAATATTATTGATTCACTAAAGGCTGTAGCAATCATTGTTTCTAATATAACCAAATCTCATAGATCGTTCATTAATATGAATATGTAATGTAGATTATACTACGGCAGGGCTTCGATAATCAGAACCCAAGCTAATTCGAACGATTCTAGGTACTATAGTCCGATAGACAACGTGTTTCTTTCTGTATCCGGTAATTTGTGACTTGGCTTTTCTGTCACAGCCATAAAGTGACAGACAAGCCAAGTCACAGATTATCATATTTATTTGTTTTTTGACACAATTAGAGACGACGAAGAACACTGGGTCACATTTTTTTAGGATTTCTGATATTTTTTACACATAAGCGATATGTACGTATATATTTAATCGTTATCTATTCTTGTACTTCTTTATATTTATATACTGAAACACCGTGCACCATACAGGCCCTGATAGAATACCAGCATTATTCTGAGGCAGGGTCCTGATTGACCAATATTATTATATAACTGGATTAAGGATCGGAGAAGCTCGATGGCACAGGTGGTTAGCGCGTTCGGCTGCGATCGTTGAAGTTAAGCAACTTTCGCAGTGGTCGGTCATTGGATGGGTGACCAAAAATCTTCTATATCGAGTTCCTCCGTGCTTCGAAGGCATGTTAAGCTGTTGGTCCCGGCTGCATCTGCAGTCGTTAGCACCCGCCAATCTGCACTGGGCCCGCGTGGTGGGTCATGGCCCAATCTTCCCATTCCATCCCTGGGAAGGCCTGTGCTTCAGCAGTGGGGACATTAAAGGCTGATGATGATGATGATAATATAACTTTGTGTGGGGCTATTAATGTTTGTGCTACTTACTTTTTATATCAGTTTTTACTACCGCTGTTTGTTATTATATGCTTGTGTTTATTGGTCAATAAAATGGTTCGCTCTCTCTATCTTTGCGATGTCACTAAATAGTAGCCGCCGAAGTACGTGCTTACTATATAATCCGATAGGCACTCTGCACATCACGTTTGTTTCTTTGCAATGTGGCTAAATTAGTAACCATATAGCAAAGAAAGAAAGTAAGTATGCCGCCAAAGTATGTACAAACTATATAAGAAATATTTGTTTCTTAGGAAATCAGAAATCAATATATCTTTATTCAAATTGGATGTATAGTACAACTCTTTTGAATCGTCCAAAAATTTTTTTCCCTACCACTCGTTATGGACATATTTTTTAGCTGCGGAGAAAAATGAGCGAAAAAAACTCCACAACATTAAAAGTCTAATGTAACATCATTTACAAATCATTATGTTGTTACAACGTCAATACAATTATGATTTATTTAATATAGAAAACCTGTTGGAATGATTGGAACAGTTCAAACCCAAGCATTTTTGTCTGTAATGTAATCAGACACTTTGTAATAAGCTTTTTTAATAAGTGTTTTTTTTATAATATCTTTAAATTTATTTATGGCTAACTCTTGGATATTGCTTGGGACTTTATTGTATAAGCGAACACAAAGACCTTTAAATGAATTATTAATTTTGTGAAGCCTAGTAGCAGGTAAAGTTAGTTTATTTTTGTTTCTTGTATTAATTGTGTGAACATCACTGTTTTTAAGAAACAAATTAATATTTTTTCTTACAAGTAATAAATTTTCGTATATGTATTGTGATGCGACCGTCATTATTCCAAATTCTTTAAACTTATCTCTTAATGATTCTTTAACTTTAAGATTATAAATTGATCGAATAGCTCTTTATCTAGGTTTTCACGCACATCACTCATTAAATAAAACTAGTTTTAACGGGTTAATACACCAAACTTTATTTATTTATTCTGTCGATACAGACCTGAAAAGGCTGCGAAACGTCAATAAATAAATAAAGTTTCGTGCATTAACCCGTTAAAACTAGTTTTATTTATATAAGAATTTTTTATTCAAGCATTTTTACTTTTACTCCCTTATTAATAAACGAGGACTAAGCTTAGATTAATTACGTAGTGTTTTGTTTATCACTCAAGTGCCATTTGTCATTCGATGAACAGAGACAAAACATGGGGTAACTAATCCATGCTTATTCTTCGTTTATTTAATAAGGGCGTTAAGAACGTAGAAGACTTATCAGCAGGGATCGCGCCGTATCAACTTTAGCTGTTCAGTATAATTTGTATGAAAATACTGCAACGTACACTAATCGCAATCGTACGACTGTGTTGGTTAAATAAAGACAAAATGTACGCACCAATGTAAGTATGAGTATGTACGTAAGTTTGTAGGTTTTTCGTCATAAAACGCATTTAATAAGATAAGTGCATGTCATATTCAGCTCGTGTTTCTTATAAAAACTTTGCCTTTCATGATGTTTTTCGTTTGTGTCTCAATAAATCTGAAAAAGCATAGCATAGTACGGAGGGATATTTAATTTTAGAGTTCGAGTATCATGGGGAGACAAATGAAATCGATCAAACAGTTGGAAACTTAATTTGCCGTTCCAATATTTCGCGTTCAAATATTTTTGTTGAATTACATTTAATTTAGAAAGTATTTTTAAATAAGTTTTATATATATATACTAGCAGACCCAGCGAACTTCGTACCGCCCTAAAAAAATAGGGGTTGTCCAGCGGACAAAATTGTGAATCTAAACCATTCTCAGATCCCCTTGAACACACACAAAAAATTTCATCAAAATCGGTCCAGTCGTTTAAGAGAAGTTCAGTGACATACACACTCACAGAAGAATTATATATATAAAGATATATATATATATATATATATATATATATATATAATTTAAATAAATTTTAATAAATAAAAAAATAATTAATAAATAAAAAGTATATTGTACAAGCGACATTCAAATTATTATTTTTAAATTAATTAACTTTAAGATCTTGTAATACTTACCGACGACTGACAGAGCCTGTTCCAAATCAGCCTCATACTTTTCGTTTTCTCCCACTTTTTTAGACACAGACGTAATGTTACTGGTCATTTTAATACAACACAAATTTAACACTAAAAATGTCGCGATCTCGCTACACAAAAAAGAACTTTTTAAACAAGCGATTTGATTCCTTGAAAGCAAGTTTCTTTTTTTTTAGTACATACGAGTGTAATTTATAATGAGTTTTGTTGTGTTAAAATCTGATGCAGACTTATCGGGTTGCTCGTAAGTCTTGATGATAGTAACTAATTCGTGTAAAGACGTGTCGTTCGATTTAAACGCTATTAAATTTTGAGATTGCGGCGATCCTCGGTTGATAAAGGGTGTGTTCACATAAACCATGCGCGTAATCTCAGAACACAGTGCGCGTAACCATGACTACTATAGATGCACGTCTAGCTTTCTGAACTCTATTCATTCTGTTGGATGCAATTTGAATTTCGCTGCGCATGTCTTGGTACAAGGTTAGTTGGATCTTGGTTTTAGCCATGTGAAGTTTTTACTGGTTTCTTTAGGGAAAACCGTGAATGTAGATTGTGGCAACATACAACTATAGTCCGCTTTTCCATATGGAGCTTAACTGTCGTCGGTGAACTCTATTCAAGTGCTTCCACTGCAAATAACAGCTTTCTAGTACTAAGTATCTCTAAGTTAAGCCACGAAAAGACGGATGGACCAATAATATTATAGTGAATCTATAAGGCGTCGTCCTAATTGGTAACAATCGTACGATAACACGATGCGTTCTTGTCGTGAGATGATTTTCGAATATACAGATTTCTTCAGAGGTGTCCTAATACAGCTCGTAAACAGATTAGATTATTATTACGATACTTAAATGTTTAAATTCCAAAAAATCCACGTGGACCAGGCAGCTGACGAGACTCGAACCCGCAACCTTTCGTTGTCCGGGTGGATGCACTGACCATTATGCTACCGCGTAACCTTTACACCTTTATTAAACAATTCAAAGAAGAAGTAGCAATTATATTTATATTTTTAGCTTTTAAGCATTTAACTGCTAGATGATTAAATCTAAAGAAAATTTTACTAGAAAAAATATCCACGCGGACCAGACCTGCACCCTCCGCTATTCGGGCGGGTGCATTTCTAACCATAGCTTTTAAATCCCTTTTCAAACATTTTTATGCTATAGTTAGATAAAAAATGAACATACTTGACATTCATACATGAACCTTTACCAACATAACAGGCCAATTTTCCCAAAACTGACCAATTATTCTAAGAGATTACAAACTTTATTTTGTTTAATAAATTTCACAGTCTATTGAGGACATTTGGTAGTTTTGGGTAACTTTATGTGTATTGTATACTATCTGGAATTTGATTATTAGATTCTAAGAAATTGAACCCGGCCAGTCAACGTATCATTATCATATCACTATGGATTTGTGATTATCGGATTAACTAAAAAATATTATCTATCTGAAGCTAAGTTCAGATGGTCTCGCGTCGACGCGCGTCCACGAGAAACAGACTTCAGTCTATTGTTATTGATATTTACTATTTCTCTATTATCTATCTACCTATATTTCTAGCGATATGAAATAAAACAGCATTGGTAATATAGATTACAAAATGTAGAGAAGAGTAGTAGTAGTACTCCGACGTTTACACTAATCTACCAATAGTCCACATAAAGACATAAAAGAATTATACTTATTTGGTTATTTATTTCAAAAGACTAGAATAAAATAATGGTTCTCATAGATGGTAAATAGGTTTATTTCTTCCAACAACAGCAACACTTGGGATTCACTTTGACTAGACGAATTGATTTCGATTTTTTCGGACCAATTGCTTTATCTTTGAACTTCGACTGTTGATATGCTAATGTAGCCACATCTTGTTTCAAATACTTGAATGCTTTTTGCAACGGTATCAAATCTCTCTCGTACACCGAATCAAATAGATTTCCGATTTCTTTATCAGTTAATTTAGCTTCTGAAAATGTCAGTAATTTAAATATTATTTTATACTATACTCATATCTACCAGCAAGTAAAAGCAAAATGTCCTAAATGAAATCACATCATTTTGACTAATATCAACCAATCTTTAGATGACTTACCATCGTTTTGAAGAAATTTTAAAGAACTCTTATCTTGGTGTAGCTGTCCGCTAGTCTGAACTTTTACACGTGGAGGACTTTTGCTTCTTCGGATTTGTATAGACATTTCATTCTCAGAATCTATAGGAATTCTGATATCATTGACGTGAGACCATATTTGAGCTTTAATACATGTAACAATATCATTATTGGACCTTTGAACCGGTTCTTTGGATGCGTCTGTGGTTTCGAGGATTCTCTCCCTTTTCGCATTTGTATATGATTTGAATCCCATGTTGAGTGATATTACTTCATTTTTTACAGAACTTTTTCGGGATGCTATGGAATCTTTGAATGATTTTGACAAATCATATTCTTCTGTAAAGCCATGATTTTCATGAAATTTATCAAATGTTATAAGATAGGCTTTTGATGTAGTAGTTTTACAACGAACGTCATCTAGGGATTTAGCTGCGTTAGAATTTTTGTGCGAGTAATATTGAAGTGGAACTTTTAATCCTGACATTTTAGCACTTTCTTCGGACAATATGTTATTGTTTTTAGCGGTCCCATTTTTGGCAGAGATGTTGGGATATTTTGTAGATGGATTGTGTACATCTATCTGTATTGGGCTAGCTGGTGTAATAGCACTATCTCTTTTGTTATTATTTCGGTCTTTATCGACGACGGCGCTATCATTAGATTCCTTCAAAATCTTCACTAAATTTGCTGTTTTATTATCAAATAATATTATTTCATTATTAGTATTTGATGATCTTAATCTTGGATCTATATATGAAACTGCTTGTTCCTTTATTGTATGAGCAGGTTTAAAATTTGGATGTTCTGTAAAATAGTTGTGTCTTTCGGTTAATTTTAAAATAATTATTTTGATCCTAGAAACACATACAGAGATGCTCAACGTTTAATATAATTGTTTTATGTAAAAGTGTTTTAAAAGTCTGCATTGACAATAATGACATGATATATAGTTCATGCCCGATTTTTATAATTTACAGAATAATGAAATATCTAGCCATTCCACGAAAATCAACCATTTCATGATTGGCTTGCCGACACAACATATTTCAAGATAGTTACTTTTGGTCACCCATCCTATAACTGGCGATTGTGAAAGTTGCTTAATTTCCACGTCCGTTGATCGAATGCGCTAACCACTTGCATCGTCAAGCTCTTATAGAACATTATGATTCATATGCACTAAGAAAAAAAATCTTAAGAATCGTCTAAGTCTTTACCGATTTTTGTTCTTGTTGATTCAAGCATGTAATTTGTTATTTAATACTAAAAATAAAAATATATTACCTATTTTTCCTCTGTATGATCCATCAACTGCATTTAAATTTGAACTACTGTCTTCACGAAATGATGATTTGTAATCGTAATGAATGGGCATATTTCGAGAAGCTTCTTGTTGTAAACTTTCTCTATTACTTATAAGATTTCTTGGTGTAATATTTTTTGATGTAATATCACTATCGGTTGACAATATATTAGGTTTGGTTTTATTATGCTGATAAAATGTTTTATCGAAACTTTTATTATTGTGTGGAGATGAACCATTTGTATAATTTGTTTCCTTATGAAAATGTTTTGTTTCATTGTATTGCTCTTGTTCAATTGGTATTTTTATTTGTGTTTTTGTTTTTCCGTTACTCCCGAATTCTTTGTTTTTAGCTTCTTTGGTCTCTGTTTGAGCAGTTAACGTATAATTATGTGTATTTAAATTTAAACTGCTGTCTTCACGAGATGTGTTTCTGTTATCGTCATGAGTTGGTTTATTTTGAGAAGCTTCGTTTTGAATACTTTCACTGTTATTAATAATATTTTTCGGTGTAATAATTTTATAACTATCGGTGGACAATATGTTAAATTTACTTTTATTATGATGATAAATTGTTTTATTAAAACTTTCATTATTATGTGGGGATGATCCATTTTCATCATTTGTAGTATTATGAAAATCTTGTGTTTCATTATATTGCTCTCGTTCAATTGGTATTTCTACTTGTGTTTCGGTTCTACCGTTACTCTCAAATTCATTACTTATAGCTTCTTGGGATTCTGTTTTAGAAGTTATTAAATCTTTTTCTGTATTTAAAATTGAACTGATGTCTTCATGGGATGTAGTTCTGATATCGAAATGAGTGGGAATATCTCGAGAAGCTTCTATTTGAAAACTTGCTCTGTTACTTATATTAGTTTTTGTTGTTATAATTTTATAACTACCGGTTGACAATCTGTTAGGTTCACTTTTATAATGCTGATATAATATTTTATCAAAACTTTCATTATTATGTAGAATTTGTCTAATTTCATCATTTTTAGCCTTATAAAAGTCTTTTGTTTCGGGGTATTGTTCTTGTTTAATAGGTATTTTTACGCTTGTTTCGTTTTTTTCGTTATTCTCACATTCATTGTTATTAGCTTCTTTGGATTCTGTTTCAATACGTATTGAATCGTTGTCTGTATTTAAAATTAAACTAATGTCTTTATCTGATGTAATTCCGTCTAAACGAGTGGTAATATTTCCAGTAGCTTCTTTTTGAAAACTTGCACTGTTACTTATTATAGTTTTTGGTGTTATTATTTTATTACTATAGGTTGACAATCTATTAGGTTCACTTTTATAATGCTCATAAAATATTTTATCAAAACTTTCATTATTATGTGGAGTTGTACCATTCCCATCATTTGGTGCCTTATAGAAGACTTTTGTTTTAGGGTATTGTTCTTGTTCAATATGTTTTTTTAGGCGTGTTTCGTTTTTTTCGTTATTCTCAAATTCATTGTTTTTATCTTCTTTGGATTCTGTTTTTGTACGTATTGAATCATTTCTTGTATTTAAAATTAAACTTATATCTTTATGAGATGCATTTCTGTTATCTAATTGATTGGGAATATTTTGAGAAGCTTCTTTTTGAAAACTTGCTCTGTTACTTATAATAGTTTTTGGT